ACACACACACACACACACACACACTTACACACCTCAACAACGAAGACACAGTTGGTTCTGCCCCGGGCCACCCGTTTCATCTTGTCACAGTAGTTGACTATCTCGTTGAGGGCGGAGTCGGCGCCCACAGAGAACTCGGTGCCGGGGATGTTGTTCGTTATTGTCACTGGGACCATGCACATCGGGATACACAGCTCTCTAGCGGGGAGGAAATTTGTTTGTTTGGTAAGTGTTTTTACGGCGCTCGCAACTGCGTAAGGTCAAACGAGCGAGCGGGACACATTTAACTTTTTCAGTTGGTAGGAAATTTCGAATTTTGCCAGGGTGGCGGCCAAAACCTACTCTTATCGATTTTAGACCACCAATGGATCTTTAACAAGCGCAACTTGCACAAGGGGCCCTCCGAGATTTTTCGCCCGTGTCCGAAAAGGCTAGGTGTAGATCTTTCCTACCAGAAAATCAGGGGTGTGGCAGAAAGACAGCAGTAATAAGGAGCCAAGGAGTAGCAGCAGAAAGGCTGCAGAAAGACTCAGGAGCCCAGAGGAGGGGGCAAAGGAGGTGAAGGAGTGGGTCAGAAAGTGGAGACGAAAGCAGACGACAGAACATTGCTAGAGAACAGGAAAGGAGGTGAAATGAGGCAATTTTAGAGAAGAATTTTTTTTCAGTCACTACCCGTTTTTGATCCCGGGACCTTTGAATGAGAGGCCAACACCTTCACCTCTAGACCACGAGAGCCCCAGGAGGAAATTAGATTATCAGCCAGCTGTTCAAATGTGATGTACTAAGCCAATATTTTTATTTTCAAAAATTGCAATTTCTTAAATTGAGGTGAATGTCTTAAATGTAGTATCAGTTGCAACATAACGACAACGACAACAACAACAGCAACAACAAAAAACAACAACTACAAAAACTTATCAACAACAGCACCATGACAACTACAACAGCAATTGCAACAACTTTGCAAAAACTGTAACATAACAACAACAGCGCTATCACAACACAACAGCAACAACAACAACAACAACAGCATGTACTCAAAGTGGCAAGCTGTTCGGACCCTAGCCGTTCCCTTCACGAAGGGAAGACAGCCACAACCAATGGGGTAACAATGGCAACTCGAATGGAGTTATTTGGACGAGTGGAGGTGCCTCTGAGTATAATGACAATGGAGCCGAAAAAGAGCCTCGCTCTCCCTCGAAGATTTCTTCATGGAGTACACCAGGCCCATTAAGGGAAAAAAAACCCAACAACAACAACATCAACAATAAAAGCAACAACAACAACGAGCTAGTTCACCTGTGTTCACTTTTGGCCTGCCAGAACTGATGTAGACTCTCAAAGGCGTCGAAGCCTCCAAGCAGAATGATGCCGCTAAGGTCCAGCTGTTTGATGGCTTTGGCGATACGCTCTGGGGAGGACAGGGGTGACCTCAAGAACTCCATTTTTTAAAAACTTTTGAAAACGTATTTGTCTGCTTTATTTAATTAATTAATTAATTCATTATTTAATTAATTTATTCATTAGTCTGATTATCTATTGATGTATTGATTTATTGATGTACTTGTATTGATGTTAGTTTTTTTTTTGTTTTTTTTTTGGGGGGGGGGCAAAATGTAGTACAATTGGAACTATTTCAATCGCATAGACATGTACTACTAGACCGTCCACTGGCATGGATGCCACTTTTTGCTTTCAACCGAAATGGGCGTGCGTGCGCTCCATAACACCAGTCTCGCTGTAATCATCGAGTTTGAAGGGCACCCTTCCCCATTTGTCCTTATATGTCTTAAATTGTATCAAGTAGCGCGGTTTATACTGAACTCACATCAGAGTGCACAATCAAGGATGTCATAATGCACGTCTATGAGTCTGTCTGTAAAACTATGTTTACACTGCATAATGTACAGGACTGTAGTTGATATTGTTTTTGGGTGATTTTTGGGTTGTTGTTTTTTTTTAAGGTCCGTTTTTTTCAGGAAGGATGCAAAACTTTTCACATTTAAAGAAGGCTCATCTTGAACAACAATGAATAGAAAGGTGCTTCACTAATTCTTTGAGCTCTGAGTGCGCTTGCAGGTATTAAAAAAACACACTCACCAGCTGTTTTGCATGATCGGTGTGCATTCAATTGACAAGATGTCTTACTCCTTATTTTAAAGACAAGCGTGCCTAGCTATAGCTCAGTTGGTCGCTTGCTGGACTGCGCTGCGGATGGTCCTAGTTTGAACACCCAACAGAATAAGAATACTCTTAAACCTGGATTCTTTAGTGAGGTTTCAAGGATCTCTACCCTCTTTGTCAGGTCTTATTGGAGATGGACGTTGCCTTCGGATGTCCCGCCTTTGAAATAACCTTTCTGTGTTGATAGGGGCCTTAAACCCATACAACAACATTCCATTGAAAAGTGCTCTAAGGAATGGCACTCTTCGCCAGTTTCCGGAGAGAAACACAGAGCGTCCATTGTCTTGTCAACTGACTAGTGATGTTTTCACTACAGCACAAGATCACTACAGCACAATACATTAACCTACAGTTATTTCACTTTTTAAAGCTGCAAATAAAACCACTATTACTCCTTCAATTAAAACGAACAAAACAACGCCCACACTGATTCTTTACGGTGTTTTCAACAAAAGTGTTCAAGACACACATTTTTTAACATGTGAGATTGGATAAGTCGAGAGTAGTGGGGTTTAAAAAAATAATTTTACTCTTTGCCAATCGAAAGACATAATGAGCCGACAAATATTACACGTCGCAAATATCTGAATTACAGAAAAATTGCCTTGTAAATTCAAACATTAAGCCAAGACCTAAAAGTGGATTTAAAAATCATGTATTCAAGGACACCTATTGCAAATACAGTTTCTCACTACTGGCCATTGAGAAGACTTCAGGCGAAGTCACAAAATTAACCAACGATTACTTTACTTCATAAACCTGCGTCTATTGAAAACGATCTTATAACTTTAAACGCAACGCACAGGCGTATGTGATGTAGCAGTAAGATGCTTCGCCATTGCACACAGAAGCGCCGACTTCGATTCCCGTGTGGGGTGAATATTTATCGAATATACCCTTTTTTGTGCTGTTTTTTGTTTTGTTTTGTTTGTTTTTTAGTTTAGTTTTAGAAGAGGTTTTACCGTGCTCGCAAATAATAAGGCCATATAAGCGCCAAGGGGTGGATGTCAACATGGGAATTAGGCTTACTCTGCTCACCTCTCTAGCTTCAACAGCACAAAGTCTGCTTCGACTATCAAGGCACCCTAGAAATAGCGGGTCACAAGAGTGTGACAAACATACAAAAGAAGTTGAGGAAAAATGATGATAGTAAGGATTAGGAGAAGAAAAACCCTCCAGTTCCCTTTTGCAGTTCAGGCACAATTATGAGCATAACACTGATGAATCCGCCCATTCACAGTTCTACTGAGCACAAGAACATGTTAATGTCCCCTCCTTTAGGAATGGCCTAAAGATTCTTCAGGCAGTAGCACCGCCCCCCGG